GCTTGCTATCTTGTTAAATCTCTTCCCTATTCTAAATTTCTCTCTTCCTGCCATTCTCCGTTTACAACGCCAGGTGAAGGAGCCTCTTTCCTTTGGCCAGATTGATTGTAGAAACAAACTCCTCGCTGTATCAAGGTTTGCTAGCCGTTTTATAAAAATCAGAACTCGCCTGGCGATTACAGTCCTTTGCTCTCACCAAGTGGAGCCTAAAAAAAAACATACTTTTCCTTGTCATGTTTCAAAAGAGGCTGCCAAGACAGATAAAAGTGTCACCTCTCCCTGGAGGTCAGGAAGATCTGATGCTCTTAATTACACACTTAGTGAGGTTTTTTTTACTTCCAGATGTTACCTACAGTTGCTGCCATTTGGGCCCCCCACCCAAAAGGGATCTAAGGAGACCTTTCGTCTCCATAACAACTTGGAGAGCATGAATAATTCAGCGGGCTTTACAAGGACTTTTTATTTATGGGCTGTCTTAATTACAGCAAAAGAGAAATTCCAAATGACAGTGACAGTTGCTTCTCTTATTGCCTATCAGGGATGGAAGCCTGGCTGTTCCGTTGTTGCTTTCGCAGAAAATATCGGCTTAAACAAGAAGCAAGCTGTGGAGTTTTTTTTTAAAAATCAGGGATAGGCAAGACCTTCAGCCCTGCTTGTTCTGTGGTGATTTCAAGGAACAGCCTTATAATTCCAATTTTCAAGTTTACCCTGTGCCGTTTCTACATAGGTCTGAGGGTGATGACGGTTGATAGCCACCCAGAGTTTCCCTGGGGTAAGATGAGTGGCCAATAAGTTCAATAAATGATTGATGGAGAGAGAGAGAAGAGATGGATAGATGGATAGGTAAAAAAGATAGGGTGGATGGGTGGATGGGTGATAGAAGGATGGATGGATAAAAAGGTACGTGGACGAATGGATGGGAGAGATAGATAGATAGATAGATAGATAGATAGATGATAGATAGATAGATAGATAGATAGATAGATAGATAGATAGATAGATGATGGATGGATGGGAGAGATGGATGGGAATGGATAGATGGATGGATAGATAAAAAAAGTAGATTATGAATGAATGGGTGAGTATAGATGGATGATAGATAGATGGATGATGATGGATGATGGATAGGTGAATAGATGTAGATAGTTGATAATGTCTCACTTCACAACAGAAATTTTGGACTCAATTGGGACATAAATAGATGGATGGATGGATGGATGGATGGATAGATGATAAAAAGGTAGGTGGATGAATGGATGGGAGAGATAGAATAGATAGATAGATAGATAGATAGATAGATAGATAGATAGATGATAGATAGATAGATAGATAGATAGATAAATAGATGGATGGACAATGGATATAAAAAGGTAGGTGTATGGATAGATGGGTGAGATAGATAGATGATAGATGATGGAGAGATAGATAATAGATGGATGATGGATGGGAGAGATAGATAGATGGATGGATGGATGATAGACAGATGGATAGGTAAAAAGGTAGTGATGGATGGATGGGTGAGGGATAAAATGGATGGATTATGGATGGATGATGGATGGATGGATGGATGGAATGGATGGATGGATAGATAGGGAATAGATGGATAGATAGTTGATAATGTCTCACTTCACAACAGAAATGTTGGACTCAATTGTGGTCATAAGTCAAGGACTACCTGTACACCTAGTTTTTGTTGCTCAGGAAGACATTTTTTTTAGAAAAAGAAAAAGAAAAGGAAAAAAAAAGGAAAGTCGGATACCCAGAGGCTTCATTTCTTCTCCTGAAGGGAGGATGCAAATCCAGGCCGGATTTCATTAGCGCGTGTTCCTATTATTTGTACACAGGGATATTTACATAAATCTCATCTGCCGTGCGGTGTGTATGGATTGCCAGCTGGAGTTTGCATAGCACCGTCCTGTGTTTCCCTGAAATTGCTTTCCTGTGTTTTGTTAAGAGGGTTGGTGAAAGAACCTTTCCTCCAGGGGGAAAGCTGTTATCTAAGCTTTTCATTTCTGAGCAATCTTGGTCGGGAAGTGGAATCTCATAACTCAACAAGCAAGCACCTAGCCAGGGTGAAAGCAGTCATTTATCAGAGGCACTCGAAGCCTCATTTCAGACTAAGCAAACAAATAAAACAGAGCCAGACAATCAAGACTAAGTTTGCTGGGAGCTCTTTGGTTTTCCCAGAGTTGTTTGTCAACTCAGGTGAATGGGGGAAAAGTGGGGGGAACGTCAGAAAGCCTATTGCCAGAAGGAGGTCACTCTGCACGGAGAAAAGGACAGCTTTGATCTGGTGTTCTTTGAGTGGAGATGGAGAGAGAGGGAGGGAAGGAGGGAGGGAGGGAGGAACTACGAAAATCAATGACATATTAATTTGCTTTGACAGGAAGGAAGGAAGGGAGGAGGGAGGGAGGGAGGGAGAGAGGAGGGAAAGGGAGAAATAGAGAGAGGAAGGAAGGGGAGAAATGTAAGGAGGGAGAGGAGATATAGAGAAAGAGAAGGAAGGGAGGAAGGAAAGAAGGACAGAGGAGGGAGGAGGGAAAGAAGGAAAGAAGGAAGGAGAGAGGAGGGAGGAGGGAAAGGGAGAAATAGAGAGAGGAAGGAAGGAAGGAAGGAGGGAGGGAGACAGGGAGGGAGGAGGGAAGGGGAGAAATAGAGAGAGGAAGGAAGGGGGGAAATGTAAGGAGGGAGAGGAGATATAGAGAAAGAGAAGGATGGGAGGAAGGAAGGAAGGAGGGAGGGAGGGAGAGAGGAAGGGAGGAAAGAAGGAAGGAGGGAGAGAGGAGGGAAGGGGAGAAATAGAGAGAGGAAGGAAGGGTAGAAATGTAATGAGGGAGAGGAGATATTGAGAAAGAGAAGGGAGGGAGGAAGGAAAGAAGGAGAGAGGAGGGAAAGAAGGAAAGAAGGAAGGAGAGAGGAGGGAGGAGGGAAAGGGAGAAATAGAGGGAGGAAGGAAGGAAGGAGGGAGGGAGGGAGACAGGGAGGGAGGAGGGAAGGGGAGAAATAGAGAGAGGAAGGAAGGGTAGAAATGTAAGGCGGGAGAGGAGATATAGAGAAAGAGAAGGGAGGGAGGGAAGAAGGAAGGAAGGAGGGAGAGAGGAAGGAAAGAAAGAAAGAAGGGAGGAGGGAGGGAGGAGAGAAAGGGAGAAATAGAGAAAGGGAGGAAGGAAGGAAGGGAAGGAGGAGAAGAGATATAGAGAAAGACAGAAGGAAGGGAAGAAGGGAGGGAGGGAGGGAGGGAAGGAAGAACAGAAGAAAAAAGAGGGAGGGAGGAAGGGAGGGAGGAACAGAAGGAGAAGGAGGGAGGGAGTTACCCTAGTTGGGTAATGCTGAGTAATGAAACATCTGCGAAAAAAGAACCAAACTCAGAGAGCACCAAGGACTCCACAGTTCAACTCTGGGCTACACTCTCTTCTAATCTGTGATCTGCTTGGTGTGTAAAGAGCAGATACTGTCGAAGTCAGGTGGGTAGAAGCCTTGACAATGATGAACTGCTGAGCCCCTCCAGACATACTGGCCTCAAGGTGGATTTGAAGTTCCCAAGTGTTTTGGGCATCACCTCTGAAATCAGTTCTGCTGCAAAGGCAGGGTTGATGTTAGGCAGAAGGATACTCCAGAACATTAACAGTGTCTGGGTTCCAAGTAATACACCCATAGCAAGCAAAACTCCGAGGCAGGTAGATTCCTCAAAGAATAGCTTTATTGGACATATCATACTGGCACAGATCTGGTGAAAACCGACTCTGAAGGTTCCCACAGTTTTCACCTAATTAAAAGTAAAAGTTTTCCCTCAACACCAAACAATCAATCACATGGTCCAGTCATGGCTCCATCTGATTGCCTGGTGACATTGCTCCTCCTTCCTCTGATTAGGTGTGAGAATGTCCTTGGTTCCCAAGAGAAAGTATTTTGTTTTGGCTACAAAGTCCCAACTATCTCAAATCCCCCCTCCATATCTCTCAGCTCCAGTGTGGCAGCACTGAAGCTCCAAGATGGCTTCGGTCAGGTCAGCTTCAGGGTTGACAAACAGGGTTGTCTACCTGTCTTGGTCCCCCAACTCCAGACTCTTAGTCTGTCTCTCATTTTAGTTTGGCCATGAGAATGGAATCTTCTGCAGCTTCCATGCATGACTTCCTTTTATGACTAAGCTCCTGAACAAGAAACCTAGTGAAACAATGACATCACCCAACATGCCTACCCAGATCTCCTTCACACCATCCAAGTTGTCATGTTAATCATGATTCCAATCTCCAGAAATGGGCTGTTATTCATCATCCACCTGAAATATTAGAAGAGAAAAGAGGTAGGTCAGAAGATTGCTTAAAATAAAAGGTAAAGGTTCCCCTTGAACATATGTGCTAGTCGTTCCCAACTCTAGGGGGCGGTGCTCATCTCCGTTTCAAAGCCGAAGAGTCAGCACTGTCCGAAGATATCTCCATGGTCATGTGGCCGGCATGACTAAACGCCAAAGGCGCACGGAACGCTGTTACCTTCCCAACAAAGGTGGTCCCTATTTTTCTACTTGCATTTTTTATGTGCTTTCGAACTGCTAGGTTGGCAGAAGCTGGGACAAGTCACGAGAGCTCATCCCGTTAGCTCTAGGGATTCGAACCGCTGAACTGCCAACCTTTTGATCGACAAACTCAACATCTTAGCCACTGAGCCACTGCGTCCCTTTGCTTAAAACGCCCGCCATTAAATGCTTCCTTTTCCTTGGTGATTCGGCCTAAGGGCGAGATGTTTGGAAACTGCTCTTCACGACGCGCTAATGGCTGACCCTCAGTACATACAGCTGTAGAGCATGCAAATGCGGCAAACATCCTCGGCTGTGTAATATTTACGTTACCAACAACAGCCCAAAATAAAATCTCGGCAACTTTGCAAACTCTTCGGAACAAAAAGACTTCAGCGATGGATCTTGCGCTACGGAAATACCGTCTGTTCACTGAAGCTCTGGTGGCTTCTCACCGGCTTCTCTTTCACACACCGGTGGAGGAGCCATGTTGGTGTCAGGAGTTCACAACTGGCTGTGCCTCCTTATCATCACAGCTGTGACTCTCGTGGGGATGACTGGAAATGGGTTCATTTTTATTTCAGACTGCTGTGATCGGATCCGAAGCAAAACACAGACGGGTTCAGATCTTCTGTTGATGTCCCTCAGCCTAACCCGGTTTATTTTCCTTGGAATCACACTCGGCTTCCATTGTATTAGCTTCCTGGATATTAATCAACCCCAATACGCTGGAAGCATCACCATTTTCTTCTGGACTTTTTTCAATGCCATCACCTTGTGGATTACCACCTGCCTTGGAGTCTTTTACTGTGTGAAAATTGTCAACTTCACTCAGCCCTTTCTCATGAAAATGAAGCTGAGGATTTCCAACGTGGTTCCCCATTTGCTCATCGCGGTGATGCTGGTTTCCTTGATCTCGGCTCTTCCTTTCTTCTGGATTGAGGATCATACCCGATTTTATAACAACACAGAGCGTATACACGAGATGATGCCCCAGATGTTCCTCTTCAGCATGCTGTATATTCTAGGGACTTTTCCGTCGTTTCTCATATTTTTAATTTCCTCTGGTTTTTTAATTTACTCCCTTGTGCACCACACAAAGAGGATGCAGAACAATTCACTTGGTTTTAGAGATCAAAGGATGGACGTTCATCTGAAGACCACTAAAATCCTGACCTCTTTCCTTATCCTCTATGCCGCAACCTTTGTAGCGGAAATCTCGATGACCTTTTCCCCCAGTCCCTGGGCGTCAGTTATGTCCAACATGGTGGTTAGTTCATATAATTCAGGACATACCATTGCTTTGATTGTTATGAATTCCAAACTAAGAGAACGACTGAGCAAGATGTTTCAGTGTCTGAGAAAACAGACATGAAGAATTGATATGTATAACAATTGTAATAATTTGAACATTTTTTTACTTAAGTAAAAAAAGAAAAGAAAATTGAAACAATATATGATTATGATTTATAAACAAAAATTACTTAATTGGTGTTATATAAATGGTATGGTTTAATAGATAGAATTTGGGATAATTGGGAAATTGCATTAAATAGCATTATTTGAACTAAGAAGTATGTTTAAATGTTAAATTGTTATATTTTTAAGATTAAAGATAAGATTTAAATTTGATAAAGTAATAATGGAATAAGGATTTAATGAGTATCATGAAATATAAATACGTTTGAACTGTACTGAAATGTATTATGAGTTATTAATTGAATTAAGATTTAAGGTGGGTTAATAGAAGGGTAATTGTTTTGATTAAGTAAATATGTGTTAATTTTTTTAAAAATTGTATTATTTATTTTATTTATTTATTTTTATTTGATTTCTATACCACCCTACTCCCGAAGCACTCAGGGCGGTGCACAGACAAACAATAAAATACATACATACAAAATTTAAAAGTGGAATTAAAATCAAATTAAATAGTTTTGGCCCAGACAAATTAAAACCCTAATCAATTTAAAACCAATTTTAAAATTTGAATATATAAAATACTAAAAAATATTAAACAATTAAAAATCTTTTATAAAAGAGGGAGAAAATTAGTTGAACATGTGATTTAAGATTAAGAAATAAGTGTTATGGCAAAATAGAATAGATAAAATTTTGTTTAAAATGGCTAAAAATTGAACAAATTGATGACCGGATCAAAGCTCTGTTCTGAAAAGATGTAATTTGTATGTTTGGGAAAAAAAAAAAAACTTTTTGCAGAAAAAAAGACATGAAGGATTGAGCTCAGACTGAAATCACACTTAACTCTTGCTCAAACATGCACAGAGCTGAAGAAGCTTCTTGGATGAGAAGCGAAACGTCTTCAAAGAAAAACAAGAAAGTCCAGTTGCCTCTTGAAAAGGCACCTTTGGGACAACCATGACCTGGATGACTGAGAATCTCCATAGACATTCTTGCTCAAAAGATTGCACTGATGATGTTACCTAGCAGGGTAATGAAATGCCCACAAGGAAACAACCAAGATCAAAGAGCACCAAAGACCCCACAGTTTATGGATGGAATTAACATTGATGACAACTCAAGAACCGCTAATTCTGTTGCAGCTACTCTATGATGGCTCACTATGAATTCAACTTGATGCCATTTTCCCAGCCCAAGATTTCAAATGGGACTTGTGGGTGTAAGATAGTCTTAGTCCATGCCAGCTCTTGTTCTGATTCACACAAAATCCATTGAGTGTGTTTTGCCTTGAAGTTAAAATTTTCCCAATAGATTTTAGGCGCAGCGATTGTTTTTCAGTATTGTTTTTAGTCTGCTGCGCCACCAAGGCTCTCACCAAGAATCTTCCCCATGTCTTTGAAATACACCGATTCCTCTTTATCTTTTATTCTTAGAGTTAATCTATTCATTTCCGCACAGTCTAAAATCTTTTTGATTACTTCACCTTCTGACGGGATTTTCTCTGTCTTCCAATTTTGCGCAAATACAATTCTTGCTGCTGTTATTATGTGTATGATTAGATACATAACTTCTTTGCTATATCTCTCTGGCAAAATACCCAGTAAAAAAAGGCAGGGTATACTTCAGAGCAGGGGTGGGTTCTACTTACCTTTACTACTGGTTCGCAACGGGATCGTGCGCGCACGCTCGCTTTGCTCACGCATGCACCTTGCTTCTGCACATGCGCAGATCGCGTCTGATGATGTCAGGGTCAGTGGGAGGAGCCTCCTGCCAGTTTTACCACTGGTTCTATAGAACCGGTCCAAACCGGGAGCAACCCACCACTGCTTCAGAGGTGGTATTCAGCCAGTTCGGACCAGTTCAGGCGAACCGGTAGCAAAAATCGGTCCTATTTATGCATGTTTTTGAGGCTAGGCACATGCGCGGAAGGCTGTGCACATGTGTGGAAGTGGCGCGTGCATTCACATTTGCGAACCAGTAGGGAAAGTAAGTGAATATCAACCCTGGTATACTTCTAAATACAGCTCTCAGAAAATTCTTGCCATTAAAATGGACGTTTCTCTGGATTGAAATAGGTCAGTTCACTGTGTCTTTACTCCAGTTTGTTCTAATGGTTAAGACACCAGACTAGAAACTGGGAGACTGTGAGTTCTAGTCTCACTTTAGGCATGAAAGCCCAGTTGAGCTTTTCATGATTTTTATATTTTATTTGGGCCAATCACCAGGAGACGTTGAGTTCTAGTTCCGCCTCAGGCATGAAAACCAGTTCTCAGCCACTCTCTCTCAGCCCATCCCACCTCACAGAGTTGTTGCTGTGGGGAAAATAGGAGGAGGAAGGATTATTAGATATTTTCACCACCTTGATTTGTTTATAAAAAATAATAAAGGCAGGAAAAAATAGCAAGGTAAAATAAAACATATAAAAATAATAAAATCAAATAAAAATCAAATACTTCTCTTCTTATTCAGCACCTATTTCATTTCATTTATTAAATTTTTATACCGCCCTTCTCCCGAAGGACTCAGGGAGGTGAACAGCCAGGATTAAAATACATACAATATGAAAATTAAAATAATTTAAAAATAATTAAATCAATTCAGCTTCCCCAATTTAAAACCCCTTACCCATAAAATTAACCAATTAAAAATTTTAAGCCAGCCCGGCTTGCTGAAATAGAAAAGTCTTCAGAGCTTGATGGAAAGTACGGAGGTCCGGGATCAGTCGTATCCCTGGGGGTAGCTCGTTCCAGAGGGCAGGTGCCCCCACAGAGAAGGCTCTCCCCCTGGGGTCCGCCAGTCGACATTGTTTGACCGACGGCACCCTGAGGAGACCCTCTCTGTGGGAGCGTATTGGCCGGTGGGAGGTTATCAGCGGCAGAAGGTGGTCTCGTAGATACCCAGGCCCTAAGTCATGGAGCGCTTTAAAGATGAGAACCAATACCTTGAAGCGCACCCGGAAGACCACCGGAAGCCAGTGCAGCTCGTGCAGGAGAGGTGTTACATGGGAGCGCTGTGTCGCCCCCATAATCACCCGCGTTGCTGCATTCTGGACCAGTTGGAGCCTCTGGGTGCTCCTCAAGGGGAGCCCCATGTAGAGAGCATTATAGTAGTAGTAAACCTATCTCTGCTATCCGTATGCCTTAGGCTTTTCACTTGGAGGAAATATTAAGGCCTGCCTGCACCTTAATTTCAACACTGTTGTTTTTTGGTTTTACAATCTCTTTAGTGTTTTAACTGTAATATTTATTTATTTATTTATTTTGAATGGTAAGACACACAGAGCCTTAGATTGAGGTGGGCGGCTATAGAAATCGAATAAATACATAAATAAATTGCAGTTGAAATGGAATTCCGAAGTCCCCGTCTATCTTGTTCCATCAAATTCCGCAAACCCGAAAGACAAGCACAACATGGTTTACGAGGGATGTAATCAAACATGAGCATCAACGATGTGTCATCTACTGTGCCCACCACCCTTTCATGGCTAAGACAGGACAAGAACTGTGCCCTCCACTCTGCCACTGCCCTCCTCCCAGTTGTGTCCCAGGTCTTTAAAAAATTTTTATTAATGACTTGCATGCCGAGATGGGAGGGACGGTTATCAAATCTTCAAATTTGATAGCCAGAGCCTTGGAGGATAGAAATACAATTGAAAGTGATGTTGATAGATTAGAGCGATGGACTAAAAGCAGCAGAATGAAATTTAACAGAGGAAAATGTAAAGCTATAAACGGAGGCTGTATAAATCAAACGCATAAATATAGGACGGGGAAAACATTTGGCTCTTTAATAGCAGGTGTGAAAAATGCCCTGGGACGGTGGCTGATCATGGATTGAATTTGAATCAGTGGAGTGATGTGATTTGTAGAAAGAAAGAAGAAAGGAAGAAAAGGAAAGAAAGGAAGGAGGGGGGGAGGAAGGAAGGAAGGAAGGAGGAAAAGGATAGGGGAAGGGGAAGAAAGGAAGGGAAGGGGAAGGGAAGGAAGGGGAGGGGAAGGGGAAGGGGAAGGGGAAGGAGAAGGAGAAGGAGAAGGAGAAGGAGAAGGAAGGAAGGGGAAGGAGAGGAGAGGAAAGGAAAGGAAAGGAAGGGAAGAAGAAGGAGAAGGGGAAGGGGAAGGATAGGAAGGCAAGGGAAGGAGAAGGGGAAGGGGAAGGAAGGAAGGGGAAGGATAGGAAAGGAAGGGGAAGTAGAAGGAAGGAAGGGGAAGGAGGAAAGGAAGGGGAAGTAGAAGGAAGGAAGGGGAAGGATAGGAAGGGGAAGATAGGAAAGGAAGGGGAAGGAGAAGGAGAAGGAGAAGGGGAAGGGGAAGGGGAAGGGGGATCATGTGATCACCTTTTGCAACCTTCTGACAAGCAAAGTCAATGAGACTTCCCTTAACAGAGTCACCTTGTAGGGGAGATGTTGGCATAACAAACCAACAAACAAACCATACCATGTTTACCCAAAAATAAGACCCTGTCTTATATTTTTTTGAACCCCGAAATAAGCGCTTGGCCTTATTTTCGGGAAGGTCTTATTATTTTGGGGCACATGGAGGAAACCAGAGGAAATGAAGGGGACCGGCTGCACATGTGTTTAAATATTTTCAGGGAGGGCTTATTTTCGGGGGGAATTATCTTAGTGCATGCACTCAAAAGTCCAATTGGGCTTATTATCAGGGGATGTCTTTTTTTGGGGGGGGGGACAGGGTATTACTAACTTAACAACTGAAGTGATTGACTTAACAATTGCATCACTAAATGGGGGCAAAACTCACTGAGCAACTGCTTAGCAATGGAAATTTTGGGCTCCATCATGGCCGTAAGTCGAGGACTACCTGTACTATGTCTCTCGGTGCCTCTCACCTTAGCTAAAATGCCCTGTTCCAAAGAGGTATTTGGACAGTCAGTTGTCTGAAATGGTATAGAGGACTTTCTGCTTGAGCAAGGGGTTGGACTAGAAGACCTCCAAGG